AGGAGGCGCATGGAGCCTAGAGACATGTGAAGAAACTGCGCTTGTCTTTTGGTCGTGGACTGGGTGACACAGATGTGGGTGAGACCCGTGGGGAGGTGACAATGGCAGCTTTTATCTGGATGTTGATTTTGCTCTTTTCCTTCTGGGCTTGTCCGGTTGTTTGTGACCCTTCTCTGTGGGTCCCCACTGGAAGATGCTTTAGACTTGTGGCAGGCTTTGGGGCTTTGCTCTGCGCCATTCCCATATGGATGGACTTTTACCCACGAGGGGATGGGTAACTTTGGGTGCTTCATTTAGAAACTAGACTCTTTGCCTCACCTGTATTGTTTCCTAGTTTTTATTAAAGTTCCTTCCCATTAAAGTCTCCTATGTTTTGTGTTGATGCGGCGGATGGCAGAACCCATTTAGAATAGGCAGGTTTGCGGGGCTTGGGCTGCCCCTCTCCCTGTCCTATAACAATACAATGCCATTATATTCATTACAAAAAGATCCCCTTTTTCTCAAATGAATATTTAAAAATATTAGTATAACATCTAACAGACTTAATTGTGGTACATGGTTGTTGCCCCACAAAAAGATCTTTCCACTAAACATGTAAATACAGTGCCACAGAGGAAACCGAGACAGTCCAGGGGCCTAGAAACCTGATGCAATAAGTTAAATTGCAATTTTATTTTATTTTTCTCTGTTTTATTTTTATTTATTTTCCCCACCACCACCCTGTTTGCCCACCTCACCCTTTGTCTCTTCTCCTTTAACCTCAGATACCTCGCTTCTTTTATTAGTGGCTGCTAGCTTTTATAAGTATTTTGCTTTGTCAAATTGCCCGCTATGAAAGCACCCATTGTTTGTCTTTGCCATTCTGATCTGCTTAACTATATATCATTCCTTCCAACTCCTTCCATTTACTGTAAATGACAACAATTCACCTTTCCCTTGTGGCTGAATAGTATTCCATTGTGTGGAGAGATTACATTTCCTTGATCTAATCTTTTGTCTATGAGCACTTAAGTTGTTGTCATGTCAGAGCTGTTGTAAACAGTGCTGCAACACACATTGTAAAGCACATAATTTTTTGGGTTGATGGCTTCATGTCCTTTGGGGTTTTTATTTTGGCGTAGAAGAACTGGGGTGTAGGTAAGAGATACCAGGGTTGGGTGAGAGGATTTACCAGAGACAGAGTAGGGAACAGAACTACTGAAATACACTGCTGAGGGGAGCAGCGGGGAGACAGGAGAGGTCTGCTGTGCCATGCGGGTAGCTCCCTGGCCAGGGATCAAACTCAGGCCTTAGTGATGATAATGCTGAGACTTAACCCACAGGCCACGAGGGAGGCTTAATGTCGTTTGGGTAGATAACCAAGAGTGGGATTGCTGGGTCATATAATATTTGCATTTTTAGTCTTTTAAGGTAAATCCAGATAGCAATCAGAAATGGCTGCACCAGTTTTCATTCCTACCAAGAGTGTAATAGGGTTCTCCTTCTCTGCTTCCTCTCCAGCATTTGTGGTTAGAGACACACACAGGATTATCAGGAAAAGGAAAAAGAAAAAGAGAGGCAGTTGCATCATCACAGATGGACAGGCGATCTGCGGCTCCTGCTTTGTGAAAGGAAAAGGTATGTGAAAAGAAACACCTGTGTAGTCACAGGCAGGCAGGGGAGTTGCTGGGGTCTTTATAATACAGTGTGGGCCATTCTCACAGGTGTCAGATGACATCTCATTGTGGTTTTGACAGGCATTTCCCTAATTAAATGTGATGGCGAACATTTTTCCACAGGTCTGCTGGCCTTCTGTGAATTGCTGTTCAGATATGCTGTCAATGTATTAATTAAGTAGTTTGTTGGTTTATTGTTAAATTGAATATGTTTTTTTATCTCTTGGATATTAAATCTCTGGGTTGTGTAATGTGTGACTATTTCCTCCCATTTATTAAGATTTTTTTTTTAATCTACTTATATTTTCTTTTGCTGTGTAAAAGCTCTTTAACTGGAGGTCATCCCAACCATTGATTTTTGTTTTTATATCCCTTGCTGTAAGGGATTGAGTCTCCAAAAACAGTGTATTTCAGTCAGTCCACCTGTTCTGTTCCCCACTCTGTCTCTGGAGAATCCTCTCACCTCCCACATCTCTGGCCTGCACCCCAGCTCTTGTATGCATAAATAAATAAATCTTTAAAATTAAAAAAAAAAAGTTGACATGCCTCTGGGTCTACATGAAATGCTTAATCAACAGTAACTGGAGCTGCCCTGAAGAAACCCTGGGACAACTTTTACAAACCAGTCCTGAAGTTCACCATCTTTCCTCCCTTGCCATTTCCCCAGACACCCCTCATTCCCATCCAAATCACCCTCACTCAGATCTCCACATCCTTCACCCCATCTCTTACTCCATCTCTCCATCTTCCCCAGCCCCACACTTTGCAACCCCACCTCTATCCTACCCTCAACCACCCCTTTTATTCCCCCAATCACCCTTAACGACCCTGTTCTCCGGCAGTCTTGAAGGTTGACCTGTGTAGTTTCCCTATCTCCACAGCACACAGGACAGTAGGTGCTACGCCGGGACCCACATGGGAAGGTTTTCGAATTTCTTTTCTTTTTTTTTTTAAGATTTATTTATTTATGCATACAAGAACTGGGGTACAGGCCAAAGGTGCAGGGGGTGAGAGGATTCCCCAGAGACAGAGTGGGGAGCAGAACAGGCAGATGTACTGAAATACACTGCTGAGGGGAGCAGCGGGCAAGTCAGGAGAGGTCTGCTGCACCATGTGGGTAGCTCCCTGGCTGACCTGGAATCAAACTCTTGCTGCAGTGGCTTCGGGTAGCTTCATAGTGCTGCGTCTAACCCCTTGCACCACCAGGGAGGTCCGGTTTTCCAATATCTTAACTACAAATGCCAGTTGGCATTCTTTTCTAAGAGAAATCCTCTGCAAATAACCTGGACTGTCCTCTACAGAAGAAAGAATCAAAAAATGAAATCGGGGCCTCCCTTGTAGTGCATGGAGTTAAGACGCAACCTATGAAGCTGTCCCCAGCCACTGCAGCACAAGTTCCATCCCCGGCCAGGGAGTTACCCACATGGAGCAGCAGACCTCTCCTGTCTTGCCCACTGCTCCCCTCAGCGGTGTGTTTCAGTCAGACTGCCTGTTCTGTTCCCTAGTCTGTCTCTAGTGAATCCTCTTACCTCCCCACACCTCTAGCCTGTACCCCAGTTCTTGTACGCATAAATAAATCAATCTTTAAAACAAAAAAGGAAGTCAGGAGAAATCCCACAGAAAAGAATCCACTGAGCAATGGTGGAGTGTTGGAGACTGCCTAAGGCGTAAATTGCTGAAGCAAGGAAAGTTTCAAGGTAATGACTAGAAGACTGGTCAACATGGGCTGAAGGACTGGCCTGTGTCCAGGCAGTGATATCCTTCCTTGTATCAGCAAAGCTAAGTTTGAAGGAGAAACAAGTATGAGAACAAAACAACCTGATAACACAGAAACCTTAGCAATGGCAGTGAATGTGTGCCAGATTATGCTGAATACCAAGAGAAAAAAATCATTGTCTTGTAACTAACCTAAAGGTTGGGGTGGGGGGTGTTGTCTCAATGGAAATGAGTTGCACCAGGCACTCAGGGCACTTGAACTCAGACTGAGAAGCCTAGGTTCCCTGGGTCCCGCCTCTCTTAAACTCAATTTTGTGTCTGTCATTTTTTGTTTCTCAGATCTTTTGGATTCCTCTCTCAACCCCGTTCGCCGAAGCCGGTCTCCAGCAGTGGAGGGCTGTCTGTGCATCTCTTGCTGCTCTCATGGCCCAGAGGAATCAGAAACCCCAAGTTAGAGAGACTCACCCGGAGTGAGCCCTCAGGGCTGCCAAGGACCACAGAGTGGTCCCCAGGAAAAGGGGAGGTTCCAGGTTCCCTGCCCCAGCAAAGGGAGGGTAGAGTTGAGGAGGAGAGGAAGCTGAGAGGAGACTGGAGGAAGGAAGGCAGAAGGATAGAGAGCCAGATGGAGAGCCAGAGGAGGCATGTGGAACAGAGACAGGTGAAGAAGCTATGCTTACCTTTCAGTCTTGGACTGGCGGAACAGCTGTGGGTGAGAGAGCTGTGGGGAGGATAATAATGGAAGGCTTTGGGGAGAGGAGAGTCCCCGGAGTGGGCATGGAAGCGCCAGTCACTTCCCCATACCCTGCACTTTGCATCTCTTCTACCTGTTTGTTCCTGAGCTACAGCTTTTTGTAACACATCAGCTATAAGAAAACCAAAGCGACTCCATCTTGCAACATCAGTTAGGGCCATGCTCTACCCCGGGAAGAGAGTCAACATCTCCATTATTTCCTTCATGTGCATTAATTTAACCTACCTTTGTGATCCACGCACAAGCTTACTGATGTCAGTAGGGCAAGAACAAATGACATGTCCCCCCTGACATCTGGCATCATGAATCTTCCACACGAAGTCACAGAGTAGAAGATGTCACTTAGAAGGGTTCTAAGAGGCCCTTAAGAGTGGCGGCAGGAAAAAGACTAATTATAATAAAGGAAAAATCAAAATCAGCAAGCAACTATAAACCAGAAACATACTATGGGGGGTGGGGGGAGTAGGATCAAAACAAAGGGGGTGGGAATTGTATGGGAACTATAACCAAGATGAAAATGCATACATTGTGCAAAAATGAAAATGACGTAAAAAAAAAAATGTGGCAGGTATAGATCCTGCCTCAACCTGAGCCACTGCATCTAGGACCCTTGTCTGTAAGTTATGGTGTGTGTATATATATATATGTATATTTTTTTTTGAGTGGGCTGACACCTTTATTTCTTGGTGGGAGGTATGTGTGCACTCAGGAGCTCTTGGTGGGGCAGGTCCTCTTCCTTTTCACCATCATGGGGTTTCTGGCTGCTCAGGAAGACACTGGCCCTGCTAAGAGGATGGTGACCTGGGGACAAGGAGTGTGAGGCAGGCGCAGCTGGCCCCCAATGCCCTGCCTAGCTGCCAAGGGACTGCAGCAGCTGGTCAGGCACCAAGCACCATGCGCAGGTTGGGGCGGCACTGGGCCTTGCAGGTTGAGCACTGAATGCTGCTGACGGTGGCCAGAGCGTTCTTATTGATAGTGGTCAGCTCGTAGGAGGTGGTGGGCTCTCGCTGGCTGGATCTCTGCATCATGATGACCACAACACCTTTGCAGTCAGCGGGGGCTCTGCATCCAGTCTTGCGCTGAAGCAGTCCGTGGTATTGGAAAGAGCTGTGGGCTTAAGATGTTTGGGTTCTGCGCTGTTTACTCCTTTCTCTTGATGAGGAAGCTGGACCAGCTCCGAACAACCATCCATTGCAGATGCACCGACAAGGCGGATGCGCCTCTTACTGCTCTGTTGGGAAAAAGCCCTTTATAAGCTTTAATTGTGGACATACGTTCTTTGTCCTTTAGACTCAAACCTCAATTTGGGGAAACTGGCTCATTCTATCTAGTATAAGTAAAATGTTTTTCAGTCCTGTGAGCAGCCTTAGGAAATTAATTTAGCCCAAGGAGGGAGTTACTGGAATCTCTGATCTATAGCTGGTCAGAAGCACAGGTGACAATTTGGACTTTCGACTGTCACCTGAGTTACAGGGTGGGAGGAAGCCTTGTAGTCTTGGGGTCTGAGTGCTTAACTTTTGGAGTCTGATGCTCTCTCCAGGTGGATAGTGTCAGTCACTGATAAAAAAAAAAAAAAAGAATGAATGATAGGTGCATGGGACAATGCAGATGAAACTCAAAATTATTCTGTTGAGTAAAAGAAACCAGACACAAAATAGAACATCCCATGTGATTCCATTTACATAAAAGTCTAAAAAAAATACAGATTAATCTACAGCAACAGAAAGTAGGTCCCTGGAAGCTTGAGGATGGGAGGGGGAGGGAGAAGGAATGACAAAAGGGCACAAGGGACTTTGGGGGTGATGTATGGATTCACAATTTTTACAGTGGTGATCAGTGTGCAAGGTTACACATATATCAAGATCCACCATATTGTACACTTTCAAATATATACAGTTTGTGGTATGTCCGTCGTGACTCCACAAAGAGCACAAAGAGGTTTTTTTTTTTAATATTTATTTTATTTTATGCATACAATAGCTGGGGCACAGGCCAGAGGTGTGGGGGGTGAGAGGATTCACCAGAGACAGAGTAAGGAACAGAACAGGCAGATTGACCGAAGTACACTGCTGAGAGGAGCAGCGGGTGAGTCAGGAGAGGCCTGTTGTGCCATGTGTGTTTCTCCCTGGCCAGGGGAATTGAACTTGTGCTGCAATGGCTGTGGATTGCTTCATAGTGCTGTGCTTAAACCCTTGCGCCACCAGGGAGGCCCAACAAAGAGTTTTTTTTAAAAAAGGCCACAAACTTGGACCTCCCTGGTGGCACAGGGGTTAAAGTCAGCACTATCAAGCTGTCAGCCAGGGAGCTACCTACATGGCATAGCAGACCTCTGCTGTCTTACCTGCTGCTCCCCTCAGCAGTGTATTTCAGTAGTTCCACCTGTTCTGCTCCCTACTCTGTCTCTGGTGAATCTTCTCGCTCCCCCAGCCTCGCACCTCTGGCCTACACCCCAGTTCTTGTATGCATAGATTAAAAAAAAGTCTTTTTTTAAAAAAGGCAATAAGCTCATTAAATTTAAAAATGGAGCTTTGTACTTTAAGAAAACCAGTTTCGTTATATGGAATTGTATGACTGTACCTACATTAATCCTCCTTAATTCTGACCTGTAAAAGTAGTATGGATACAATCTTGCAATCTCTGGATAAATAAGTTCTCCAGACAGCTAATGCACAGCATAGTGATGATAAGTAATAATACTCTATCATAAACTTTAAAGTTCTTAATTGTTCCCACCACTAAAAATAACTGGTAATCATGTGGTATGATGGAGGTGTCCACATGCTAATCATATTGCAATATATAAATGCATCAACTCAACATATTGTATTCCTTAAGGGCAAAGTTACCTGTCAGTTAAATCCCAATTAAAATAAATGGATGGATGAGTTAGGCCCTTGAGCAAATAGAATAAAGCCATGAGCCTAGATGGCTGGGTATGTGATAGTCACTGTATAATACTTTTGATTTTTCTGTATGTGTAAAGTATTTTATATTAAAATGTGGGTAAAAGAAGAGGTAGGGCCTCCTGGGTGGCGCAAGGGGTTAAGCACCGCACTATGAAGCAATCCACAGTTTCTGCAGCACGAGTTCGATCCCCCCAGCCAGAGAGAAACCCATATGGCGAGGGAGACCTCTCCTATCTCACCCACTGCTCCCCTCAGCAGGGTATTTCGTCAGTCTGCCTGTTCTGTTCCCCACTCTGTCTCTGGTGGATCCTCTCACCTCCCACATCTCTGGCCTGTACCCCAGCTCTTGATAGCACAAATAAATAAATCTTAAAAAAAAAAAAAAAAAAAAGAAGAAGAGCTAAAAGAAAACTTGCCCTGCTCAATGCTTCTGACACGAAATGTGTGGATTTCTCCACACACACATTGACCCATGCACAACACTATTAGAAATCAAGCTGATACCCTTTGAATGCCGAAGGCCTGAACGTAACACCTCAGTTTAAGAACTCAGTCCCACTAGACTGACCCCCACTCAGACACCAGCTCCAAATCCCAGATTGTCACCTGGATTTCTGACTGTCCAATTACAGACAGAGGGCTCTGGGACCCCTCTTCAGGTTCAAGTATTTGCTAAATGGCTCACAGAACTCAAGGAAATCCTTTTATGCTTATCAGTTTATTACAAATATTATTACAAAAGACAGAGACAAAAAGCCACATGAAGAGGCACACAGGGCAAGGTCTGAAGATTCCAGAGTTCATTTGCGTGGGGTCCTTGACATTGGGATATAAACAAAGAGGATGATACTGCCTACATCATTTTAGACCTTGTTGTCTCACATGTGATTTAAACAGAGATAAACATTTCCCATAGGGCTTTGAGCTCTTCTGGAACATAACTTTTCACACCAGCCTGAGATGCTGCAGGTGCGTTATAACTGATTTCCTAATCCCCAAGGTTGGTTGGACATTTGGTTCATTTCCAAATTTCCACTGGGATAGTTGGGGCTGTGTCTAGCGCCTTGTCTGCATTTTGTTTTGTTGTTGTTGTGTTCTTTTTTTCTGTCTGCATTTTGGAAGAGTTTCACCTCCTCCAAAACCCAACCCCTGACCTGTCCAAGGAAGTAAACTCTTTGCAATGCAAATTATTTTCTTTCCTTGTGTTCACCCAAATAAATCACATCCATGTTTGTGTAGAGAGTTTGGAACTACAGATAAGTCAAAAATGGAAAATGAAAACTCTGCTTGCTGCAGATCCTTCCAATCAGTGAAAAATTAGGGAGTTTTCCTCATTTCTTGAGAGAGGATATGACACGGCATTTTCGCTTCCTATTTATTTTTGCTTATTAAGTCCTGAAAACATTTTCCAGTTTCTTTGGCAGTGATTGCATAATATCTCATAACATTGTTATTCCACAATTGACAGAGCCTCTCCCCTAAAGCTTATGATAAATATACAAAGTTTATGATAGATATTTATTATATCCATTTTTTAAAAGATTTATTTATGCATACAAGAACTGAGGTACAGGCCAGTGATGTGGGGAGTGAGAGGATTCACCAGAGACAGAGTGGGAAACAGAACAGGCAGATCGACGGAAATATACTGCTGAGGGGAGCAGCAGACGAGTCAGGAGAGGTTTGCTGTGCCATGTGTGTTTCTCCCTGGCCAGCAGGGGATCTAACTCATGCTGCAATGGCTGCGGTTAGCTTCATAGGTTGCATCTTAACCCCTTGTGCCACCAGGAAGGCCCTACATCCAATTTTGATTCCAACAATGCAATAGAGAAAATCTTTGTGTTTAGACTTGTGAACAACTTGTATGTTATTTCCTTAGTACAAGAGTCCCCAAAATGGAATGACTGGGTAAGAGTTATTCTAGAAGCCAAGTCAGGTTCTAGAAAGATTGAAGCAATTTCTTCTCATTCACCATAAACACAATCCAGCAGCAGCCTTGCGATCCTTGAATGTAATCATTTTCTTAGAGCTTGGCTAATGGATAAGTGAAAGGTTGAATCTCATTTTCATTTATATATTCCTTCCTGGTCAATAGTATGCACTGAGCACCTAAGATATGATAGGCCTGTCCTTTATCAATATATTATTAACTTGTTAAGTAACAGCTACATGACTACCACTGTGCAAGGTGCTAGAAATGCAGCAACCTACAAAAAAAAATACATGCTCTCGTGGGGAGGGAAGGAAAGATGGACAGTAAACAAAAAAATAAATACAATAGACCATAGGTTATTTCCAAGAGTGATGTGTACTAATAAGGTAGTTAATCATGAGAATAGATGCCTCGCTACAAGTTTGTGATCTGCTGTCATTCTGCCTGTTACTTATCTGTTCCTGTCCTTTGCCCATTTTTTTTTTTTTAAAGATTTATTATTTATTTATTTATACAAGCACTGGGTACAGTCAGAAGCGCGGGACGGTGAGAGAATTCACCAGAGCCAGAGCGGGGAGCAGAGCAGGCAGAAGGACCGAAGTACACTGCTGAGGGGAGCAGCGGGCGGCAGGAGAGGTCTGCGCGCCATGTGGGACCCTCCTCCGGTGGCCGGGGAGCAGCCGGGGATCGAACCGGTGCTGCAGAGGCTGCGGGCAGCTTTGCAACCCAGCGCTCAACCACTGCGCCACCGGGGAGGCCCTCTTTTGCCCATTTTTTATTAATTTTTTACTCATTTGTCACATCTGGGGCAAAAGGAATAGTAATACCATGTACTGAACGTCTGCTCTGTGACATTCATCTACTAAACGTTTCATTCTCTTCATCGAAAGCATTTTTGCCTGCTAGGTGTTACCTGCTAGGTGTTATCTTCATGTCATTGCTGTACCATGGAGTATCAGAGAGGTTAAGCAACTTGCCCAAAGCCACACAGCCTTGGTAGCACAGTTGAGATTCAAATGCAGTTACTCAGGTACTTAACCATCAGGAAATTCCACTTCCAAAAAACCTGAGGCCGAGATGCTACTTAGGTGACTGTTTGATGATTTGCTTCCCTGGCATGATGTTTTTAGTTTTTATTAGACTACAATGTACATGTAAAAGAGCACACATTTCAGAACCTTACAGCTTAATGGATTAATTCTGAATAGACATGTGGATTACCAGTGCTAATATTTAGGAACAAAACAAACAAGAGTCCATCCCTTCAGCCTGCCCCTCCTTTGCGGTAATCATGACCATAATTTCTGCTATCTGGTAATCACATTTTCACTGCCAGCTCTGAACAGTATCCTTATGGGATGCCTCTGGCAAACCAGCAGATGGTCATCAACATGCTCCTTTTTTCTTTTTATGCTAAAGGTCTATAACAAAAC